TTGTCTCTGACCATTCTTTGCTTTCTCCTTACGTTAGTCCGGCCATTCTAAGGTCCGGTATACGTACCTATCTCCTGTTTGTATTCTGCGTGTTGGATCCCTGTCACGATCCTGACATTACGATAGGGCCAATGGATCCTGCAGGTACAAACTCTCAGGTCGGTTCTCCTGACTCTAGATTTGAGGCCATGGATCATAGAATGGACCAGATGGCTCTAGCTCTGCAAGCATTGCTATCTCGTCCTAGTAATCACTCAGAGGAGATGCGTACTCCATCTATCTCTCCTATAAGTACAGGCCTAGAGGTAGCCACAGTGGCTACTTCTTCCCGTGTTACGTCCCCGTCACGCTATGGCGGCGCTCCTGACACTTGTCGAGGTTTTTTAAACCAGATAGGTATTCATTTTGAGTTACAACCCCACGCCTACCCTACTGACAGGGCGAAGGTTGGATTTATAATTACCTTACTCATTGACAAGGCACTTAGATGGGCTAACCCCCTGTGGGAGAATGATAACCCGTTAGTTTATAATTATAATGCTTTTGTCGCTGCATTTAGGAGAGCTTTTGACCCCCCAGGAAGAAAGGCCAATGCAGCTAGACTACTGTTACGTCTTAGACAGTATAACCGAACCCTAGTGGATTATGCTTTAGAGTTCAGATCCTTGGCGGCAGAAGTCAAGTGGAATGAACAGGCTTATATGGACGTATTTATGAACGGGTTATCTGATGAGATTTTAGATGAGGTGGCCACAAGAGATCTTCCTGAAAATTTGGAGGATCTGATTTCATTTATTTCCGAATAGATGAACGTATGAGACAGAGGCAGAATATTCGGGATAGAACCCGCAGATCCTCCATAAGACTAGCTCCCTCATTTCAGACTTCTGATTCTACTACTTTAGCTCTCCCAGAACCTATGCAAATAGGTAATACTCGACTCTCAGAAGAAGAAAGACAGTACAGGAGAAGGGAGGGTCTTTGTATGTATTGCGGAATTAGAGGTCACCTACGCCTAAATTGCCCTAACCGGCCGGGAAACGCTCGCACCTAAGTTTCTCAAGAGGACAGGCCTTGGGTGTTTCTATCTTGTCCTCTATATATGATTATAAAGATCATAGGCTTCTGATTCCTGTTTCTTTAGCTTGGGAAAAGGGAGTACTTAATGCTATGACTTTGGTAGATTCCGGAGCAGCAGAAAACTTTATTGACCAAGCCTTTGTCACTAACCACTCTATCCCATCTCAGCTAAGGGATACACCCTTGGCCGTTGAGGCCATAGATGGTAGACCATTATCTGAACCTGTTATTTTTCGTGAAACCATACCAATTAAGTTAACTACTGGTATCCTTCACGAGGAAAGAATATCCCTCATGCTGATCTCATCTCCTTCAGTTCCTATAGTCTTGGGGTATCCCTGGCTTAAGAAGCATAACCCTATCATTGACTGGGAACTGGGTGAGATAGTCTCCTGGGGTCAGGGTTGCCAGAGAGGATGTTTGCAGAAAGTCTCACCGATTTGCAGGGTTGACGCCCCGGTTAACTCTTCCCAACCTACAGATTTACAGATACCGTCGCAATACCTGGATTTAAAGGCAGTCTTTGACAAAAAGAGGGCTGATACTTTACCTCCACATAGGTCTTTCGACTGTAAAATTAGACTCCTACCTGGTACTATGCCTCCGAGGGGTACGGTATATCCTTTATCCACTAAGGAAAACTTAGTCCTAGAGGAGTACATACGTGAAAACCTAGACAAAGGATTTATTAGGAGATCTTCTCCGGCCGGGGCCGGTTTCTTTTTTGTAGATAAAAAAGACGGCACTCTACGGCCTTGCATTGATTATCGGGGCTTGAATAAGATAACTATTAGAAATGCTTATCCTATTCCTTTAATTACTGAGCTCTTTGATCGACTGAAAGGCTCCAAGATTTTTACCAAGTTAGATTTGAGGGGAGCTTATAACTTGGTGAGAATTCAGCAGGGAGACGAATGGAAAACAGCTTTCAATACCCGTTATGGCCACTATGAATACACGGTAATGCCCTTCGGGCTTTGCAATGCACCTGCAGTATTCCAGGACCTTATTAATGAGGTTCTTAGGGAATTTCAGCATGAATGCGTTATAGTATATTTGGATGATATACTAATACACTCTAGAGAGATTGAGACTCACCACAGACAAGTCAGAAGGGTACTGCGCAAACTGTTACAACATGGATTGTACTGCAAATTGGAAAAGTGTAGCTTCGACCAATCTCAGATAAACTTTCTTGGCTACGTTATTTCTGGAGACGGATTTAGGATGGACCCCATTAAACTCCAATCGATTTTAGATTGGCCATTGCCCAGGGGACTCAAGGCCATTCAGAGATTTATCGGATTCTCCAATTATTATAGGCGCTTCATTAAAGGTTACTCTTCTATTATTGCTCCTATTACCAATATGACTAGACAGGGTGCTGATACCAAGACTTGGTCTACAGAGGCTCTCTCTGCCTTCAAAACACTCAAAGAACATTTTGCCTCAGCACCGATATTAGTTCATCCTGACACATCTTTGCCTTTTCTACTCGAGGTTGACGCCTCGGAGACAGGTATAGGCGCTATCTTGTCCCAAAGGCTAGGTTTGGATAAACCGTTACATCCATGTGGGTTTTTTTCCAAGAAATTATCTGGGCCTGAAAGTAGATATGACATTGGTGATAGGGAACTGTTAGCGGTCATTATGGCTTTAAAGGAATGGAGACATTTGTTGGAGGGGACATTATACCCGGTTACTATTTTGACGGATCACAAGAATTTGTCCTATATAGGGGAGGCCAAGCGCTTGTCCGCCAGGCAAGCTCGTTGGTCCTTGTTTCTGACACATTTCAATTACGTGCTCACTTATAGACCTGGTTCTAAGAACTCTAAGGCAGATGCATTGTCCCGTCAACATGAACCTTCTACGGTGTCTGAAGCAGCTTTGTCTTCTATCGTTCCCAAGTGTAATATTATTGCCAACACATGTGTCAGGATACACTCGCCGTTGCTTGCTGAGATCAAGAAAGTACAACATCTAGCTCCCAAACCTGTTCCTGGGGATCGATACTTCGTTCCTCCTGAGCTCCAAGTGGAACTGCTGCATTGCTTTCATGACAGTAAAATTGCTGGGCACCCCGGCATACGCAAAACGTGTTCCCTGATTTCTAAAGATTTCTGGTGGCCTTCCCTTCGTAAGGATATAAGGGATTTCGTCAGGGCATGTGCTGTCTGTATGAAGACTAAGCAACCTCACGCGCTCCCTTGTGGACTTTTGCACCCCTTAGAAATTCCCGAGAGACCATGGTCGTGTTTGGCTATGGACTTCATTGTCGATTTGCCTGTTTCTAAAAAACATACTGTTATTCTCACGGTGATTGACAGGTTTACTAAAATGGCTCATTTCGTGCCCTTGCCTAAACTGCCCTCGTCTCCCGAATTAGCTGAGATATTCGCGAGGGAGATTTTTCGTTTACATGGTATTCCCTCTGAAATTGTTTCTGATAGAGGTTCCCAATTTGTTTCCCGCTTTTGGAAGTCTTTCTGTTCTCACTTAGGCATCAAGTTGAATTTCTCATCTGCCTATCATCCCCAGTCCAACGGAGCTGCCGAACGCACCAACCAAAAGATTGAACAATATTTGCGTTGTTTTGTTTCTGAACACCAGGACGATTGGGTTGGTCTGATTCCTTGGGCAGAGTTTGCACACAACAATCTCGTTTGTGATTCTACTCGTTCTAGCCCCTTTTTCTTGAATTATGGCTTTCATCCTTCCATTCTTCCGTCGGTTTCCCCTTCCCAAGGGGTTCCGTCGGTTGATGTTCATGTCGCCAATCTGAGAAAGTTGTGGGATCAGACTCGACGAATTCTTCTTCAGAATTCCATGGTGTTCAAACGACACGCTGACAAACGGAGACGGGTGGCTCCGGTTTTTGCCCCGGGTGATAGGGTGTGGTTGAGTACCAGAAACATCCGCTTGAAGGTTCCTTCCATGAAATTTGCCCCTCGTTACATAGGCCCTTACAAGGTTCTGTGTCGGATTAACCCGGTTGCGTATCGTCTTGCCCTTCCGCCTGCCCTGCGCATCCCTAACTCTTTTCATGTTTCTTTGTTGAAGCCTTTGGTTTGCAACAGATTTTCCTCCGCTGAGTCCTCCCCTCTCTCTGTCCAGGTTGAGGGTCAGGAGGAATATGAAATCAAATCCATTCTCGATTCTCGTATTTCTCGGGGGAGGTTGCAATATCTTGTTGACTGGAAGGGGTATGGGCCGGAAGAAAGGTCTTGGGTGGTCCATGAAAATGTGCATGCCCCTCGTCTCCTCCGGGCATTTCATGCTCGTTTTCCGTCTCGCCCCGGTTCCTTCCGCCCGGTGGGCGTTTCTGAGAGGGGGGGTACTGTCAGGGTACCTTTGGTGTCTACCTCGGAGGAGGTTAGACACCTAGACGTCCATCCTCCCAGGGGGGCTGACTCACCCGATCCTTGCACTCCTCCCGGTCGTTTACACGCCGGCCGCGATAGCTCCGCCTCCTTTTATGACGCGGCGCTCAGTAGCCGACGTCAGGACGGCAATCACGTTCCGACCCGTCAATCACGGCAACCAAGTGCCGAACAACGAATCAGGACTCGTTGGGGGCGGAGCCAACAGTTAAAGAGCCAAGGTATAAAAAAGGGTTCTGTGGAATGATTCATTGCCCTGTCGTGGTTCTAGCTAGTCTGGTCACTCAGTGCAATTACCTCTATTGTCTTTTGGTTCCTGACTCGGCTTGTATTTTGACCCTGCTTTCCTCTCTTGTCCTTTTGACTCGGCTTGTCTCTCGCTTACCTGATCTCTCGTTCCCTCGACCTCGGCTTGTCTCTGACCATTCTTTTGCTTTCTCCTTACGTTAGTCCGGCCATTCTAAGGTCCGGTATACGTACCTATCTCCTGTTTGTATTCTGCGTGTTGGATCCCTGTCACGATCCTGACACCCTGTACGGAATGGAACCCTGATTCCCGTTACCCGTGGTCACCATGGTAAGTGCAGAAACTGGCATCGAAAGTTGATATGGATGACATCCGCATGCAAAGTCGCCGCCATGGGGATGTGCGATTTGCCCGAGGTTCTCTAGAGTCAACAAAGTTCCTGAGCAAATATAATGTCAATAGCTACTCTGCAGAACAGAGTTGTCTTTTTTTATATGTCCCAATATTTATTTATTTTTTTTTGCATCAGGAGTTGAGCTCAGTTTGAACAATGTAAGAGAATACCCTGCACTCCAACCCTCTCTCAAATGGATAATTCTGGTGATCCTCCTGACAGCCATACTTTAGATTTTGATTTATGTTCTTCCAAAGTTAAAATAAAAGATTCCATCTAGTGCTATTTTATGGCTCAGCTGTATTTTTCATTTTTATGTATTTTATGTTATTTTAAGTGATTTTCCTATCCACATTTGTTTGCAGGGCACGTGTTCTACTCTTACCCCTATTTTACTTGCTTTTGCAGCTTTCTAGCTCTTTCAAGGAGTTTTGTAGAGGGATTTTTGTGGCCAAAAGTTCGGGGTCAAGTTCGAGCCCGAACCTGGACTTTTTTTCAAAGTTCGTCTGAACCTGCTGGACCCGAACATCCAGGTGTCCGCTCAACTCTAATCAGCATTATACAATGTTACAGAATTCATGAGACAGCATAGGAAGACAGCATAGGAATTGCTCCAAATTGAATAATTTTGAACAGTTTAATCAGTATTATCAGTATGATACAGTACAGTATACTGTAATAATAAAAAATTGATTTATGAAATTATAAAAAGATTAAGTTGTTTTTTGTTTGTTTGGTTGTTTTATTTGTTTTTTTTTTGTTTTTTTTTAATAAAAAATTTATACAGTACATTTATTAAATATAGTCCACAAATTGAATGTTATTTTATAGTTTCTAATAGGGAGATACAGGAGACACACATGCTAAAAATATATTAGGATATTATTACAAATTTGGCAATGAAACACCCAAGATGTGAGGTACATCTAGAGTCATGAAATCACTTGGGAACCATAGCTTGAAAGATTGCCACGCCATCTGGGCTAATGGACAATTACAGAGAGTTTACCTGAAGTAGAATTACTTATTTTATGAGCTATTTTTAATTTGTTTAAATGTTTTATTTCTATTTTATTGTAGATTAACTAAGGCTGGGGGGGCTTATTGTGTGTCCTAACTCTCACTTAAATGGGTGCTCTAATAATTATAACCTAAACAACCAGCTGAAACTCTCAACTAATGAATGCTCTGAAACGCAACAAAAGTGTCCTTTGGATTGGGCAGCAATAGAGTCATTGATCTCCTTGGTAAAATCTGTTTAGTAGAAACTACAACAGGGAACTAGGCAGAAGAAGCCTATAACATAAAAGTTGAGTTTGCAGAAAAAAACAAACCAAAGAAGAGTTACTTGCGCAGTAGAGAGATTTTTTTTTTACTTGAAGTTGAAAGAAGCAAAGGGAATTGTTAGTGTAGGACTCACCTAAGAGGTTTGCCTTGATGTGACAGGTGAACTTACTCTCAAGTGGCCACTGGAGTTATACTAAAAAAACTCCAGTCATTTAAATATGCAAAGGGATTTGGGATAGTGCACAGGTAACTATTTTCTTTGCTTTTTAATGTAGGTATTGGGGCAGATGTGTACTATGGTCAAAGCTGCCGCCAAGGAGTGATGGGAATTTGAGCGCAGGACTTATTCATGTATATTTCAGGTTGCAGACATACCTTGTGTGCACAGGACACCCAAGAACATTAGAGGCAAAGGATAGTAGGGAATTGTAACAGCAACTAGGCTTTTTTAAAGATGGGATTGACTGTTGCATGCAGACAGGTTTGGAAGAATGGAACAAAAACAGAAGATAGAGAAATAATGGAATGAGAGGAAATTAGATTGAAGGGATGGGTAGCGGAGTTGTACAAGAAATTCACCCCTGCCACGAAAGCTTATGTTCATATACATACATTCACATATGTGTATATTATTTTTTTTACCAAGAGGAATTCCTGGTATAGATATATACCTAGATAAAGGACTTCCCTGTAAATAATCCACATTTTTACTACATAACTTCTACAATTAATTATAAGTGCATGGAGTACTTGTTAAAAAGTCTGATTAATATTTAGATACAATGGAGACTATCTTATAGGTGGGCAAGTGATGAAAATCCACAGATATTACTACTGATTAATTACACTTCAATATTATAGATAACCTTTATTTTGTCACACACAATACAGGATTTGAGATAATTGTAATTAAATGCATTTACCTTAATGAACATTTCTGGGTTGTCTGCAATACAATATGCAATATATTTGATATTTTATTGCACACACAAGCCAATCACCAGTTATGAACACATAAATCAGTTTTGAATTATACCTTTACACATCTCAGTAACTTTAATAGGACTCTCATATATTTTTCCAGCCTCTAGAAACTAGTTCAAGGTGATAATAGAATATATGCACGTATTGAATGAGAGCACAGTTAGTGATGAGATAGGTTAAACAATATTAATGCACAGACAGTGAATTACATACATTGTACATGCATGATTATACAAGTGAACTAATTGAAACATTTTATATACATGAGCTGCATTATGCTTTCTTCATATTTCCATGTAATTGCCAAATATGGTTTGCATAGAAATGTACCTGATCCTCCTTTACGGTGCTTACTATGATAAATATGCTGGAAAATAACCACATGCCATTGATGAAGGAATTTTCCCTTCTATGTTCTAAATGTACTCGAGCTGAGAACATACAGTACAGATCAACCTCCATTCACAAACAGTGATGTACAATGAAGCAGTTCTCATGCAATGTCTCCCTATTTTGTCTGTGCTCAGTTTATAAAGTAACTGACGTCTCAGGTGCTCGCGAGGGAGTTCCTCTTATGAATTCAATATGTTTGTTGGTGCTAAAGCATTTGTTAATACGTCTTCCTGTGAGCGCTACTGATCTTTGTAAATGATTCTATTTCAAGCTTGGTTAAATCTTAGATGAGAGAGGATGCTGTGTCTTGAGCCATTATTTATAAGTGTAATAACCTACAAACTGGAACTGAACAGCAGTTTCTTCTATCAAGCTTACTAATTTAATAAAGTATTCAATCTTAATGTGCACGCAATGTAAGGGTGCAGTTTAGTACATGAAGCCCACGATATAGTAGAGTGTTGGATAGTACAATATCAGGATCGCAGTACACAAAACGTAAGTCAAATGTAAGAATGGTCAGGAAAGCCAAAGGTCAGGTCAGACAGGAAAACGTTCATAAACAGTAAGGCAGGCAAGGGACAAATACCAGAGGTTAAACAAAACAGCAAGTGAAGGTATGACCATTTTAAGGAGCACAGTATAACTGAGCAATGAGACCCAGGAGTAGTGCTATTAAATAGGGCGGAGGAGGCATGACTTATCACTGTCATCTCCGCCTCCCACTCACAGACAGCTGTTTTGGTCTGTCCCCTATCCTTTTAGAGAACGCCACTTTGTTGTGCTTAAGGAGGCTAGTCCAACCTGATGGTCCCCCCATTCACCACGCTGAAGTGAAGTGGGTCTCTTTCGATTTGCGTGATGCAAACAGAACACACAAAGAGATCCACCGCCAGTTGATGGCGGCAAACAGGTGAGTCGGTGAGCCAGGGAGCCTGAGGTAACAAGGCCAGGGAGTGGGGGGCATGACGGTCAAAAGCTTGTTTTTTTTAAAGTATGGTGTAGAATTTTAGTAATTGTTATTTTGCAAGATAGCATAGTAATATAGGTTTGCCACTCAACTATCATCCAAGTTCCACACATCTTGACACAATTACAGACCAATTTTAAAACTTTGCTGCAAAGTTTTTCATAGCATTTTCTGATACTTTGTGTTTATATTAGGTCTGGTACTGCTATTTAAATAATATATATATATATAAGAAATATATATATGGATTAGAAGACCTAAAATAGACATTCCAATAAGACATAATATAATAAACAAAGAGAGCCAATATAAATAGACTTATATATACATTTTTAAATATTACTACTAATGTGCTAGGATTTTAAATGCAGCAGTTTGATTTTCAAATGATTCCACAATGAATAAATAAAACTGCAACTCAGCGGCCCAGTGAGAGCAGGGAGTGCTATACGCTGACTCTGAGATGTTACAGTTCCAAGCTAAAACAAAGAAGACAGAGCTGAAAATATCGGAGTCTTCACCTTGCTGTTTCTTGTCTGCCAGCTTCCAGCAACCAGCAAAGAGGCTGTAATGAAATAGGAGCAGAAGGAACAAGTAAGGGGAATATCTTTGTACTGTTTAAGCGCGCTGCGATCCCAAATTGATCTCGCAGCGGATAGAGGTAATTAATACCTGAATATACCTGTCAGTATAGTGCTACTAGGATTGCCTTAAATTGATTAAAGGTTATACTTTCTCCTTTCTGAGAGAGTCTGTAACAATACATTAAGATGGATGAGAAATAAAAGAGCACAAGGTGGACAATAAATAAGTTCTCTGTTACTGGTTCCTTAAAGCAAGGTTAAGAGAAAGGGAAAGAGAGAGAGAAATGGAGAAAGAAGGAAGGAAGGATAAGGGAAGGAAAAATAAAAGGAGGAAAAAAAAGAAGAAGAAAGTGGGAAAGGGAAAAAAAGGAAGAGAAAAGTAAAAGCTGCATTTTCCTAATTTAAAAAAAAATTCTACAAAATCTAGCCCTCTTTTTACTGCTGAATTGTGGAAAAGAACTATCAAAATAGGCTATACTAAAACGGCTTCCAAACAGAGAGATAAAGAAAAGGTCTCTGAAAAAGAGAAACTACCTCCTCCGGAAAAAGAAAAGGAAAAAAATTGTCCTATATATATTGGCCGCACTTTTTATTCACCGAAACCTAATGAAAACTATCAGGACAAACACAGAAAATTGTTACCAGCAGACATCAAGGGAACAGACAAACATGGATCCCCTGAAATTTCTGGCCTTTTCGAAGAAGATATATCTGCCATAAGCTCTAAATTTCAAGGAATTACACAACCATTACTATCAACACTTTTAGATGAACTATACGTCAACATTAAGAAAGATATAGAATTTAACTCAGTAGACTTGAGATCTGAAATAGCCTCCTTAGCAGAAAATCTTATGCTCAAGCATATATTTTAACCTTGGACCAAGAAGAAAATAAGTTGTTTCAGGCTTCTTATTAAAAAATGGAATCTAAAATAAAAAATT